CGATTCCGGTCAAGGGCATGTACCTTGGTTGCGGGCACATCCCCAGTGGGGAGTGTGCAGGAAGCAGCTGATCGATGTTTCTGACTCTCTGTCCCTCTCCCTTCCTCTCTGTAAAAAATCAGTAAAATATATTTAAAAAAATAATAAAATAAAAAATAAAATGTTTGCATATTAGACTAGATTTCATCCAAATACATTCTCGTTTTCTACTAAAACTCTTTAGAATATTTTGCTAAGAGAGAAATATTTTTAAATATTTCATATCATGCCGTAATGACTCTACTGGTGGGAACTCCATAAATTGGGCACCATATTAAAAAGCTTTGTAAATATATAGAGAGGCCACTATTTCCCATCAAAATATCAACCTCTTCATTTAAAAAAAACAACAGTTCTTCATCAGTATAATTTCCTTTCTTCTTTGTCTCTTGTACTTTGTTTTTTCTAACCAGGATAAATTCACAAGATAAGAAAAAGGATGGCATCTAGAGTAAATACCAGTTTCACTTTGATTCCCAACCAGAAATATAGACGTAGTAGTCGTCGATCCAGCCATGTTTCCAACACCCTCGACTCAGATTCTCAGCCCTTATCAGCACTTGGAAATTTTAGAGCCTTGCCATTGGAAATATTCCAAATAATCTTAAGATATTTATCAGGTGAGGGTTGGGGACTATATTTTTGTTTTTCCCAAGAACTAGTTTGTCATCTTTGGCCATGCTAGAATTAATGGTGTTCACAGTAAGATTATTTTCCAAAGTTTCATCATTTGTTAGGTAAGAGATACAATGAGAAAGTACAATACTCAAACTCTCTAAGCATGCTTCTAATTATAATGACATGGTAACTTGACTATTACATCCCAAAATGTTCCTAATTTATTGAGCACTGGATTTAAAACAATTTTAAGATTTTTCCTCTTTATTTTTACTATTATTTAGTATCATTATTAATGAGCAAACTTATCAATTATTACACTGTACTAACAGTGACGTTCTTGTCCCTCTTTATTTTCACTATTATTTAGTATCATTATTAATGAGCAAACATCAATTATTACACTGTACTAACAGTGACGTTCTTGTCTTTAAGCCGTTCATATATATGTATATATTTTTCCTTTGCTAGTGAAGGATGTCAGCATGCTAAGCATGGTGTCCAAAACAGTCAGCCAGCATATTATTAATTATATCTCAACCTCATCAGGAAGCAAAAGACTTTTACTACAGGACTTTCATAACCTTGAGCTGCCTGGCAAGAGACAAGACTCTGCTGTATTGGAACACTACAGATCTCTAGGTAATTTGTGTAATAAGAATTGTAACAAGCAAAGAACTATACTTAATGGGATTTTATTATACATTTCTGTGAGACTCATGGGAAATGAAATATTTCCTAATATTATGTGCCGATTTCTATGATGCTTTTACTCTTCAATGTGAGGACTTTCCCCTAACAGCAGTCTCTTACACTTATCTTTAAAGACTAGAGAATGCCCATTAATGTAAAGTGTCAGCCCTTGTGATTTCATGTGGATACAATGTCACCTATGCTTTTTTTCTAGGTGGCTTACCAGTTTAGGAAATTGATGTATATTGTATTTTATTTCCTGTGGATCTACTGAGTTTATCTTTATACCTCTTTTTCCCTTTCAACCATAATCCTAATGAGTTTCATCTTTATACCTCTTTCCTCTTTCAACCATAATCTGGTCCTTAAAATAGAAAAGAAATTTAAACACTTTATTGTGGAAGATCACTTATTCTTTTATTCTTTTATCAGAAACAATGGCTTTTTTTTTAGGCATTGTACAGTTTACTAACAAGTCATTATGTTATGATTAAATTAATATTACCAAAGGAAATTTACATAACCTTTTTTTCCTTGATTTGTATTCATTTGTCTTTCACTCCATTTATTGATTTTATTTTTCCTAAGAGTGCTAAAATAAAATTCTATATTTACTTAATTAATGACAACAATTTAATTATGAAATCACTTTATAATTAACCAAAGCATGACAATAAGACCAAATATCAACGTGATCTTAGGATTTAAATAAAGGTATACAGGTGAGTTAATGAATATTATGTTTCAGTAGCCCAAGGATGCCTAGCTTTAAGATAATAAAATAAGACTATATAGATGTTTAAATATATAAAACTGTATTTGACAGGTATATTTAACAAGACTAAATGAAAGGTATATAATTTGATTACAGTGTTATTGGCTTCAGCTTTTATGATTAGGCTTAGTAAAGTCTGTAACAGAATATGCAGTTACTTTTTGCTACTTGTTATTGTAAATATCTTTTTTCAAGCATCATTAGTTGCAGAGAAAGTGGTACTTGGTTAGGTAATGAGCTTATTCTTGGTTTTGATCTGAAAAAGTTTTTTTCCCCTGACCAAGGCTCAATTGCTTAAACAAACAAACAAAACATTAAGACAATTATATGGATAAGTCAGTTAAAAATACAAATGTGTGCCCTAGCTGGTTTGTCTCAGTGGATAGAGTGTCTGCCTGCGGACTGAAGGGTCCTGGGTTTGATTCCAGTCAAGGGCACATGTGTGGGCTGTGGGCTGGATCCCCAGTAGAGGACGTGCAGGAGGCAGCTGATCAATGATTCACTCTTATCATTGATGTTTCTCTCTCTCTCTCCCCTCTCCCTTCCTCTTTGAAATCAATAAAAGTATATTTTTTAAAAACACAAATGTGTATTGATCTTAATAGCTACATTTTTAAAACAGTTTTAGTCATGTAATGATTGTAACCTTATTTTAATTTTGATGCAGATATCTGGCTTATGACTGATTCTTTAGGTAAATGTTTGATGTACTTACATTTTCTCATGTTGCTATTCCTATCTGATCTGTTCTTATTTTCAGACTTTAATGTAACATTTTCAGATTCCTGCTCTTTGAATATTATAAATTTTAATTTGCTTCTTCATACAAAACAGAGCAGATGGCCAGTGGGGAAAGAACATTACATCTGACTATTTTAGTGGGAAGAAATTAAAGAAGTTGGTCTCCAAAGGATATAGCAGAGCACTTGTGTTTAAAAAAAAAAAAAAGTCAGCCTGTATTGGTTTATATGGTGAATTGCAACCCTTAAAAATAGAGGAGTTTTACATTAGAAAAGGCAACCAACATTAATTATAGCTTGCAATTCCCTAGCTATGATATACCATGGGACTGAATGTCAAAACATGAAAGGAAAAGAACTCAGCCTAAAAACCAAACACCGAAAATGTCTTTTTATGTACAAAAATAGGGTTTATGTTTAAAAGTCAATTCTGGTCATGTGTTATCCAAACATAGCAACTTCTAAAAATAAATTAGATTCTCATATAGTCTACAGAATTATATGAAGTAGTAATTATATTATGTTAAAAAAAGTAAATGCAGAGAAAATAAAAACTGAATAGAGCCATGATATTCAGGCATATATTTTCCTTCCATATATCTTATTTTTAATTTGAGGATATTTGCCCTCACAGGAATGTTAACAATGTATTGCCATTTTAGGAAAACAGACCACTTAAAGTTCGAGGAAACAAATCAGTCACTTCCTGTCACTGTAGTTGAAGTAACAGATCTCTCTGGGAAATTGAAGAGCTTTTTTTCATTTTTAAATATCTGAACACAAAATTCTATACATTCTTAACATGCAAACACCATAAAAGGATATCTTTGAAGGAAGAAATAATATTTCATCCAAACTGGATATTTTCTGTGAGCAAAAATGACTTCAAACCTCTGAAATTTCAAGGACTTATGACTTTAATTTTTTTTTTCCAAAAGGAATATGAAATCTCTTTTCCCATTTTTCCATGTTTTGCAATTCACAACATTTTCCTTTGTGGACATGAGGCTGATTTCAAGAGATATTGGAATATGTTTTCTATGGAATAAAGACAATATAAAGTTTCCTAGTGTATTTTTTGTCTTGTATCTTTTAAAATCTAAATAATTTTAAACATTTCCATATCTGTCCTAGTATCAATTTCATAATATTTTATAAGATTTTATATCAGTGCCTCTTAGGTAGACATCAGAGTCACTTGATATTCAACATATAAATGTTATACCCTTCCTCCCAAAATTCCTCTTTAAAAAAATCTATCAGCTCACAGTTCACTGTGGTATACTATACTTAACTTTCAGGAAACATTATGCAGTGCTTTATAGATATATTTTAATGGATTGCACTTTATAGATATTTTTAAATTGTTGTCACTGTTTTTACATGTGTTTGTTTTACTTTCTCAGGTTTACTGTTTAAAAGATGTACATTGTTGCTACCCACAAAAGAAAGACTAAAGTACATTCACAAGATACTCGCAGAAGTAAGATTATACTTCTGAATTAGTTCGCAATCTTGATTTCCAGTAAGATTGTCTTATACTCATTTAAGTTATATTCTTAATTAGTAAAACTTCATGAATTAGTACTAAAAAATTAATTGATGATAATCTAATACTTTACCAAGCCCTCAAAGATTATAAAACACCAAAATGTAGTATAGTAATCTTTTACTTATTGTAAAAAAATTTTTATATAACTAAATACATCACTTAAGGTTATTAGGTTTATCAGAGTATAGAAGTATTTTTATCCCACATGAGAATCATGAGGATGTTTTAAACTGGTGATTTAGATATTTTATTAAAATGAAGTAATTTCTGAATGTTAAAATATACAAAAAACATAGGAAAGTATTTTAATATATAAAATAACCCTTTTATGATAATTTATGACTTGGAAATGTGTATCAATGTATCATAATCTCTATGTAAGAAAATGAGTTTTACTATTCAAACCCAAACATACATATACTGATGGTTCAGTTCTATACTCAGTAGTATACAAACTATTTCTCATGCACTAGCTTTTTTCATGTCAATATTTGCATTGAATTCAGGTCTATATTATTATAGCAGCTTCCCAGATGACCTTTCTACCATCCATTTCTTCAGTCCCCAAGACAATGAATCAAGGTTATTCTTCCTAAAGCATCACTTTCATCAAGTTAACTTTCTTGCTTAAAAGTCTTTCAGTGGCTACTCAATTTCAGCAAGATAAGGTCCAAAGTCCATAGTTGGTATTTAAGGTTCTCCCTGACATACAACTGTACTTCCTATTACTTTGAGTCTAGTTAAGTTGATCATATTTTTATTCCCAAATAAAGTTTTTTTATTCCTACCTCTATACAATTTTGCCCTTATTGTTTCCCTCACCAATCTTTTCCATTTGTTATGTCTGAATCCTACTTTAGACATTGCTTGTTTCACATCCTTCATAAGCTTTTTTGATCATTCCCAAATTTATCATTTCCTTGTTTTCATAATAACTGATGTACTTTTTTGGTCATTTTGCCATTTATACATATTCTAACCTTAAATCATCAAAGTAACTTCACATGTGTATATCTTATTCTCCTAAATAAATTGTGAGCTCCTTGAAGGCATCCTTTGCTTTATATTTCTTTCATAATCCCCACCTATATAATAATGCTAATCAATGTTATTTAATGTTATTTACTTAACATTATTTTCAGTTAATACTGAAAAAATGTTTACATTGCCATTAAATTTGAATATCAAACTTAAAATCATTGTACAGTTCCACTGAAAAGAAGGAATGAATAATTGTTCTCTTTACAGGTTCCCTGTTTTAAATTCAATGGCTGTGCAGCTCCTATGCAGTGTTCAGGATTATCATGTTATGGCATGCTTTTACAGGTACTTTTTTTTATTTTTTTTAAAAATATATTTTATTGATTTTTTACAGAGAGGAAGGGAGAGGGAATGAGAGTTAGAAACATTGATGAGAGAGAAACATCGATCAGCTGCCTCCTGCACACTCCCCACTGGGGATGTGCCCGCAGCCAAGGTACATGCCCTTGACCAGAATTGAACCTGGGACCCTTGAGTCCGAAGGCCGATGCTCTATCCACTGAGCTATACTGGGTAGGGCGGTGCTTTTTTTTTTAATGAAAGAAGAAAATGTTTTTGAATTGTTGACAAGTAGAGCATGTAATCCATTGTTCCATGGGAAAATAAAGGTAATAATAATCTAAAAAAAGAACAAAATAGCCCTAGCTGGTTTGGCTCAGTGGATAGAGAGCATCAGCCTGTGGACTGAAGGGTCCCGGGTTTGATTCCAGTCAAGGGATCCCCAGTAGGGGGCGTGCAGGAGGCAGCCGACCAATGATTCTCTCTCATCATTGATGTTTCTCTCCCCTCTCTCTTCCTCTCTGAAATCAATAAAAGTATATTTTTAAAAATGTTAAAAAGAACAAAATAAAACTGTAAAAATTTGACGTGTTAGTCTAGTAATGTTTGCCACCTCAAATTTTCTTCTTGGGTTTCTCACTGGTAAGAAATGTTTAACATTTACCTGCTCTATACCAATGTTCTCAACATTTCTAGCCACTGTTGTAAAGACTAGAAATAGTGTGAGGTGAGGTATGTGTGAATGTGTGTGTAATGAGTTTTAAGTCTTGGGCTAGTTATTTGAGATGTGATTTTAGAAATAAACTGTATGAAAAAATTGTAACTAAGGTGATAGATGTAACTAACCCCCATGTGGTAACCATTTTGCAATATGCACATATATAAATTACTACATTGTATGTCTTTAATTTACATGTCAGTAATATCTCAGTAGAGCTAGGAAAAAAGAAAAAAATCAGTTGTATGATTTTAAGAATATTTTGTCGACACTCAACTGCTGAGCCACACTCCCGGGGCTTAATTAAACTTTTATTATACACAAAGAACATAATAACATAATGTAATGTTATTCAATATTGATAATATATTATACGATTCTAAGCAATTTACATGTACTAACTTTTAAAACCTACAACAACCTTATGAGGTTTACAACAGTCCTACAACAATCTTGCTTATGTCCCAGCCTGATAGCCACCTTCTGATCCCAGGGTAGGCCCTTCTACTAGCCTTCTTTCAAGATAGATTTTTTTCCTTTCTTTCTTTCTTCTTTTAGAGGGCAGGTAATGTAAGCATGTGTATTTATATAAAATAAAAAGGTGTAAAGTGAAAAGTAAGTCTCCCTCCAAGACCTGTCCCTTGTCCACTGAGTGCCCTTCAATAGAATTAACCAATGTTAGCAGTTTCTTGTATGTCCTTCCAGAGATAATAGATTAATTTATACACTACTGAAATCCAGGTCAACTATTTTAAGAAATCTTCAAAATCTAATTACAGTTGACCCTTGAACAACACAGGCATTAGGGGCACCAACCTACACACAGTTGAAAATCTGTGTATAACTTTTGACTCCCCCAAAATGTAAGTTGTCTCTTGGCATTCTAGGGGGATTGGTTCCAGGACTCCACACAGATACCAAAAGCCATGAATGCTCAAGTCCCCTATATAAAATGACATAGATCAATGCATTCAGTCAGCTCTCCATATCTGTGTACTCCCAACCTCACATTGAAAACACTACAGATATTTGCTGAAAAAAATCTGCATAAAGGACCTGCACATTATAAGCCTGTGTTGTTCAAGGGTCAACTGTATAGTGATATACCATTTGAATTTCCTTTCCATAGATGTTTAACTATACATTTGGATTTGCTCAAAAATAATTATTAAATTTTGCTCTAATAAAATTTTTTTGCTTGTTCACATCCAAATGTCATAAATGCTCATAATTGTCACATTAAAATGAAATCATTATCCTTTGTAAGCAATATCATAATGATAGCTAGAGGGGGTTAAAGGGGTTCTACTGTAGTCTAAAACTAAGCCACAGTATGCTTATGAGTCAGATGTCTAAAGCTGTGTTTGAGGGTTTGGGCCTTTGTTATTTTCCTCATACTGTCAGAGTTCAAGATTCAGTATCATTTAGAAGTTCTCTGAAAACATACTCCCTTTACAATGAAAAAGAAACTGGATTTGGAGCATTCCTATATTTTATGTAAAATATCTTATTAATGTCAATAGTTCCATAGTGGATAAAAATTACAAATCCCCTGGATCACGTGCTAAGACAGTTATGTGCTCATAAGGCAATAGTGACTTATGTTTTGATTTGAGGTCTAAACATCTGCAATGTTTCATTTATTTTATTATCCTCAGACCTTAACAGCAGGTTGGGATGAACTTGAGTGCCATCGGGTTTTTAACTTTTTATGTGAGCTGACTGATCTCTCCCGCAAAATGCAGACCATTGTCTTCAGCAAACCAGGTAAAGAACCAAAATTCAGAAATAACATACAGAAGTTAAAATAGAAAAAAAGCACAGTTCGAAAGGATACTTAAAAATAAATTGTGGTATCTGTTTATAGTAAAACAACAAAGAAATATAAGAGAATGATAAACACTGAATTAGATAGTGAGGCTCAAGTGGCATGTGAGTAGAGAAAGAGAAGTACTGAGAGGGCTTCAACTGTACTAATAATATTTTATTACTTAAGCTGGATACATGCCATAATATGAATGAACCTTCAAATCATTATGCTAAGTGAAAGGATCTAGTCACAAAAGACCACATACTGTATGACTTCATTCATATGAAATCCCAGAAGAGGAAAATTTATAGAGACAAATAATAAATTATTGGTTGCTTAGGGCTGGGAGTGGTAACTAAAAGAGCAGAATTTCTTTTTTGAGATGCTCAAATATTCTAAAATTCACTTGATGATAGCTGCACATATCTGTGAATATACTAAAAACCATTGAATTGTACACTTTAAATGGGCAAATTGTATGCTATGTAAATCATATCTCAATAAAGCTTTTTAAAAACAATCCTTTAGCCCTGACTGGTTTGGCTCAGTGGATGGAGTGTCGGCCTGCGGACTGAAGGGTCCCAGGTTTGATTCCGGTCAAGGGCATGTGCCTTGGTTGTGGGCACATCCCCAGCAGGGGGTGTGCAGGAGGCAGCTGATTGATGTTTCTCTCTCATCAGTGTTTCTAGCTCTCTGTCCCTCTCCCTACCTCTCTGTAAAAAAATCAATAAAATATATTTAAAAAACAAAAAAACAATCCCTTAATAATCTAAAAATTTTACAGAGGAAAGTGAATTAATGCTTTTAGTATATTAACAATTGTATAATAAATTTGACTTATTTATTATGCACATCAACCTTTCTAGGAAAAATGGTTTACAAGCCTTTTGTGTTCATAGGAAATTCCCGAAAACTAGAGTTAAGGATCAGACTGTTCTGTAGGAATGTCCTGTTTGATCATTGGACACATAGAAGTGATTCTGCTTTTTGGTTGACACGTATATTAAAACCATGGCCAATGGTGAATCAGGCAAGATTACTATATATCATCTTTGGACCAATATCTCCTCAAGATGGTGAGCATCTATTTTTTAGCAAGATATGTTATAAAACTGGTTAATTACTTTTACTTTAGGAAGCATATCTTTTTGTACCCGCTCAGTTTCATCATTCCTAATGACTAAAATGTTTCATGATTTCATGAATTTATACTACATTAACTTGTGCGTAACTTAAGCTTCAAGGTGGAAATTGTTCCCTGCAGGCCACTACCAAATATTTTCCTATCATCCCTGGATAGGAAATAGCTGCTTTTCATTTTTAAACATTATCTTAATTCAAGATTATGTTTGCTGCTGGAGGGGACTAAGTGCCAGTAAATCAAAGTAGTGTATTGATATTGATGTTTTACTTAATTTTGGGTGCATGTGATTTTTTAAATTTTTTTTGCCTTTCTAATAAATTTAGATTAATATTAAGATTAGCATGCAGTTCTTTAGTTCACATTGCCTTATATCAGGAGGTAACTAGTTTAAATTATGTTGAATAGCAGCAAGAAGCCAATCTATAATTAAATTTTGGTGCATAATTCACAAAGAGAATTGGTCATAGGTAAATAACAAAAAAATCAACTGGATTACTCTGTTTTGATATAAGTGTTTGGGAGATCCTCAAATATAGCATGTTCTCTTTTTCAGATTTTATTTTATTTCAGTAAAATTACATTAATTGTTTATTCCAATTTTTGTTACCAGAGTAGCATTATCTTTTAACTAAAAGTACTATTCTGCTTGGTGAAACTACCTTTTCTTTACTTCGTTTAGCTATTATGGCTGTGCTTCATCACATCAGTCAGTCAGAGACATTCAAATTTATACTGTTATTAGAATTGACTTTCATTATGAAAGTAGCACATATAAGTAATGAATTCCATTATGCAATCCAATTTGCTTTTTAAATAATCCATGAAGTCTTTATCACAAAGTCAACTATTCTGTCATAACCTAATTTTTGTTTCAATTATCATTCAGGACAAGTGGTTTGGCAGAAAATGGTAGAAGAACCTACAGATGAATCTAGTCTGAAAGGTCTGGCTGATGCCATTAAATTACTATATGACACAGGCATCAAAGAGTGGACAGCAGATGATGTTATCAGTCTTATAGATGAACTATCAGGTAAAATAACAATATTTATCACACAGAGTAACATAATTTATTATTAGAATACAGTTACAAAATTATAATAGTAGCCCTGACCGGTTTGGCTCAGCGGATAGAGCGTCGGCCTGCGGACTCAAGGGTCCCAGGTTCGATTCTGGTTAAGGGCATGTACCTTGGTTGTGGGCACATCCCCGGTGGGGAGTGTGTAGGAGGCAGCTGATCGATGCTTCTCTCTCATCAATGTTTCTAACTCTCTATCCCTCTCCCTTCCTCTCTGTAAAAATCAATAAAATATATTTTTTTAAAAATTATAATAGTAATTCTACAGGTAACAAATGACTTGCCTACCATTAAATGCTTTAAAATATTTAAAGAATTAGGCATTGTTTGAAGAGACTGGATATAATCAACTTACTTTTCTTTAATTGTGAATGTTATAGGTATATTTTTATTACCATTATTATTTGAAAGCTTCATAATTTAATTAATCCCATTTTGCAAGTTCTCAAAAACACCTTCCTTGGTTGTATAAGAAGAAACCCTCTCTTAATGGTATGGCAGAGGTGAAACAATTTTTCCCATTTATGCAAAATTCTTTAGATTCTGAAGTTTTCAAGATTTCTTTCCTTTCACAGGATTAGACCACCTTGCTTGTTGATCTATCTGTAGGAAAAATGCTTTGACTGTATTACTATTACATGTATAAGAGCTGCCATGACATGGCAGTAATCTCTGTCTCCAGTTAAATGCTGTAATTAAAAAACTAAAGCATTTTTTTCTGAGCTTTTCCCTTGGCAATAATCATATTTCCAATGAAGTGATGTAATATTGCATGTAATTAATGATGTTTACTATAGCTATTGTGCAATTTCTCATTAAGTAACTGTTCTTCCTCTAATAAAAGTGGTTCCTCGTGAGTGGCTTCTAGAAAATAATGCACGTCTCCTAATCCTAAGTGGGAACGACATCTGTTTCACTTTCATGGCTAGTAAAGCTGTGAATGGACGGACCGCTGAACTGGCAAGACTGATAGTCTTTTTGGCTTTGGTAAGTAAAAAATAAGTTTTCTCTAACAAGTTCTTTAACATTATAGTTGACCTGCCAGGAAGCTGCCCTGAAGGAACTGAAATATGTACAAGATATTTTGAAAGAATAAGTATATAAGTATATATCTTATAATATATACTTATAAAATTGTAAAATATATGTAATAGCCCTGGCCAGTGTGGCTCAATGGTAGAGCATCGTCCCATGTACCAAAGGGTCTCAGGTTCCATTCCCCCCATCAAGGGCAAGTGCCTGGATTGCAGGTTGATCCCAGGCCCCAGTCGGGGCGAGGGCTAGAGGCAACCGATCGAATCGATGTATCTCTCTCATATATCTCATTCTCATTCATTCTCTCTCTCTCTCTCTCTCTCTCCCCCTCCCTCTTCTCCCTCCCTCCCCCACTCTAAAAAAAAAAAAACAATGGAAAAATATCCTTGGGTGGTGAGTATTAAAAAGTAAATAGTAATAAGCTATCATATTTGGAATTACTCTCTGTATTAACTTCTCCCCGCTTTATGTCTAGATTGTCATCATACAGCTCTGAAAGTTATATTCTTTTTTCAAAAATTCTATTAAAAAATAAAGTACTTGCCCTGGCCGATGTGGTTCAGTGGATAGAGCATTGGCTTGCGGACTGAGGGGTCCTGGGTTCAATTCCTGGTCAGGGCACATGCCTGGGTTGTGGCTCGATCCCCGGTGTGTGGCGTGCAGGAGGCAGCCAATCCATGATTCTCTCTC